GAGACAGCAAAAGAATATTTTATTTGCTGTGGAAGAGTTGCAAGAGATCAATAATATTCATGTTCAAGAATTATTCAGCCAGTTTGAACAAGCGCTCAGAAAAGACAACCTAATTATGTGCAGAGTACTTAATATAATAAAAATCTATAGCAGTGGCCATCAGGAGAGCCAGAATTATTGCTGCAAACATACTGTACTGCGGCACTGCACCTTTCTTTTTGGAGATAATTTGCTTGTTTTAAACTCTTGGTGATATTTTAGCAATGGTACTTTTGAGAAAAACTATCTAGAAACATAGAAAAGAGATGAGGCTGTCCCGCTGCAGTACTAATGCAAGATTCTTAGTAAGGGATTTGTTCCGATTGGTAGTACTGCAGTATTGTAATGGTTAGCTGGGTCTGTGCTGATTCTAGTGAATACATTGTGGGAATGTTTCCCTTCCTCTGCAGAAGCATGAGCGGCAGGCGCAGCAGCATTACCAGCAGCTGCAGAGGAGAAAGAGGGAGGAGGAGGAGAGGCAGAGGCAGGCCGAGCATATGGCCCGCAGGGAAAGGGAGCGGGACGAAAGCAAGGGCGACTCCTCCGGGGATCACCACCACGACAAAAGTCACAGCGGCAAATCACGCACCGGGGGTGGAGGCGGAGGGGGCAGCGGGTCGGACAAGCCCAAAAGGCCCAGCTCTCTGTTGGCCAATAATAACGTGATGAAGCTGAAACAGATCATCCCACTGCAGAGTAAGTTCTCCTCGGGTGGCGCCCGCTCCCCACAGTCGCCCACTGGAAGTGAACCGAAGCTGCCCGGGTTCCTGAGCTTCAAATTTCTCAAGTCACCTGAGAATAAGAAAGAAGGCGCTGCGGCTTCTGCAGCTGCCGCCACAGCCACTAACGCCACAGCAACAGCATCGTCATCGTCATCTTCATCATCAGGTAGCAGCTCTCAGGAGCGTTCTCAGTCACCCAGCAAAGCCTTCAACCCTGGGAAACTCTTTAACTTTGGGAAATCTGAGGGGGGGACGTGTGTGAATGGGGCTGCGCTGCCCAGATCTGGGGAAGGATCATCATCACAGACGTCAGAAAGACAACCATCCAGGTCTGACTTGAATGGCGTTCCAGACGAGATCCCCTCGCCTGGAGGTGAAGGGTCAGAGAACGGACATTCGACAGACTTGGACCCGGCCGGCTCTAAAGTCTAGTAGCTCCACAGAGAACAAACTTGTCGTTGGTTACATCTCTACTGAAGAGGTGATGTGTTTACTGTGAGGAAAGGCCTGACCTACCTTCTGTGTTATCACAGGCTGTGTGTAGAGGTACCTGAAGCAGAGAGAGGAAAAGATGAAACTGATGAGAGATGACTTTTGGTTTGGTTTGCTGACAAAAAAAAAAAAAAACAGGCTTTATAAGAAAGACGTAAGCCCTCCTATTATGACGAATAAACGCGCGCACACACACACACGCCCTTACACACACACAAACATACAAATCCTTCCTTGTCTGCAATACATAAAGAAATGCATGAGCTGCGTTTCTAATATTTTTAAGCCTTTAAAGCAGAGAGCTGTGTTTCTTGATTTCTTCTAGTCATAAATTGTAAGCATCTCGTTGGCCTCCCACTCGGACATAACAGCCTGTTGTGGAGAAAAAAGATTTAAAAAAAAACATATACAGTGGTATGAAAGGATCACAGATTGTACATCAAATAAGAGAGTGTTTTTTAGCTTTCACAACACAAGTGATCATTAGATATTGTCTCATTTTTAACTGTGAGAAATTCTTGGGCCCTTCACTTTTATATTGAAGTGGGAAATGGAAAAGCAATATCAATCAGTGTTTTAATTATTCTTATCAATCATCACACATGACCCTCCCTTAATAAGCATCCCTGATATATCACCAGCTTTATTTTCAAAGCAGAGGTGATGTCTGAGCTTTGTACACTTCTTCCCATCATGTGACAGTAGCAGATTTGTTCAAAAAGGGCTGTCACATACCAGTATTTTTCCCAAGAGAGCAAGTGAAAGAGAAAAAACAAAGCAGAAGTAGACGAAGGTGATTTAAAGAAAATGGAGCATGGGAGCCTGTTGCGTGCTGTTCTCCATCCAAGCCCGTAGAGCGCCTTGTAAACACAGATGGTGTTCCATTCCACACACTTACCAGACTTGGCAAACGAGCATAGAGTTAAAGAAGTAACATTTGCACTAAACCCCTACACCCTACAGAAAAACATCTCTCCCTCTGCAGGAGAGAGGACCGACACCAGCCTGCCTCATAACATTATGCAAAAGCTGGATTTTGATTTCCTCCTTTCACACAGTACATGTTATCTACTCACCTGCCCCCGGTCTCAGCAATTATGGTATTTCCTGAATATTCAGATTACTTTTTGGGTTGTATTTTTTATTTTTTATTTTTTTTTACAACAGTTACTTATTTATGTTGAGCTCCGTATTATTTTTTATATGCACCATTTGCTGCATTGCTTTATTGCAGTGCTGATGATGGGAATTTCCTTTTTTAACCAAAGCGGTATTTTTCGGATTATACTGTTAACCCAAGATGTATGTACTGTATGTTCTGTTAATCATCTACACCAACACTGTTTGTGTTACTCGAGTAAGGAAGCCCATCATCTACCATTAAATGGTATTTCACTTCTGTGAGGTCCCCAGAAGGTGGTGCCAGAGTTTATTTGCATAGCAAAATGTGTTGTTGAACCGATTCACTATTGACTATTTACCCATAACATCAGTGTCATTAGTATAAGACAGGGGCAGTGAAATTAGAGCGTCAGGCTAAGGAGCACTTTGAGAGGAAAATGTATTATGGTGACATTAGATAAGGTACACACTGAGAAAGGTTTCAGAGGCCAACACACTGTAGGTGTAGAGACAGAAACATTAACTATGCATTTCCACACCATCACCTCTGGCAAGGTTTTTGGCAATAACACTGAGTTATAGGAGACTTACATGTAATACTAAAAGTCTAGACTGACTCCCCCTCCCACAGCACCCTTCCCACTGCATTCTCCTCAGCCAGACTCTATGCATCTTTTCTTTATGTCTCCTCAGTTTTCACTTTCAGCTCGGTCAGCTCAGCCTCCTGTTTCATATTTAACGTGAGGACTCTCCCCTTACTCACAATCAAAATAATAATAATAATAATCCCATCCATGTACTGCTTTGTGTTTACAGAGTCTGTCTAGTCTACAGGTGATGATGACATTGAGCTTCAAACAGGTTTTTATATTTTGTGGCTGCTTTCATGTGTCTGTAACAACTGTACAATAAGTATAGTCCACCTTTCAGCCACATGCCTAAAGAAAATACTAAAATGTACTTCCGCAGACAGACAAAGAGATCTTACTGACATTAAATGCAATAAGGAAATAGACAGGATATCAGTTTGTGTGGTCACCGTATCATTTTACTGTCAATCTACGGTATGTTCTTTTTTATATTTGGAAGTCAATGTTCATTATAAATGTAAAATGAGAATTGCAAGGCTGAGAGAAATTGAATATGTGTATCAGTTTCACAGGCTGGTCATTCTTGTAGAGACATATGATAGAGATCAGGATGGTAAGCGTAGCTGAGCATAGTCTCATCACAACTTTTATTCTTGCAGCTTTCATTGATTTCAGGGATGAGTGACACCATGATGCAATCCATATATCACCATTTCAAAGTTTGTGAAAGTTTGTATAGAAAATGAGATGCCAGTGTCAAAGCAGAGGTGACTGAAGTGAGAAGGCAGCGATAGGGGTATTTGCTGATACTGGCGCATCACAGTGGAGTTTAGGTCATGCCTCCATGTATGTAGTTCCTCCTTATTCAGGGAAAACTTAAAGTACAACTTCATATAATAGAAATCGATAGCATTAACCAACCTATCACTTCTTTCATCCTTGCACTCTTGGCAGCAGCAACAAATTCTGCATGTTGTTATTATGGAGGTCTTTAAATAAGCATTGGTTGAGGTATATTAACAAGTCTTTAACGGTTCTGGGCATCATCGAACGCTTCATCAAGAGGCATCCCATGTCAGAGACAGCACCATCACTGTTTTCTCGGGCCACGCACAGGCGTCCCTTACATAAGGACAGCTGCTCAGACAGCTGAGACACATCAGCCGTCTGTAATTCACTATCAAAGAAACAGCGGTTCTTTAAAGGATTTGGGCTTATCTAGACTTTACAAGCACCATTAGTGTAATGTGAAATGAGTAGGGAAGGACTGAATTTAGTAAATGTACTGTCTCCTGGATATTCTGAGAGTTGATTGAACAGGTGAGATTCTCACCACAGCTACATTAAGACCTGACTCTAATCTCAGAGTTTAAGATAGGACATCTTCATGGAAGCCTCACTTACTGAACATCATATGCTCTTCCAATGTACCACTGTACAAAAAAAAAAAAAAAAAAGATCTTTTAAAGAGAAATACTGGGAAATGGGATTATTTATTTCTTTTAATTTATTTTGTCATATTTTTGTAAGACCTGAAAAATAGTTAATAAAACTATTTCAAATGCATTTCATGTGTTGTGATCATTGTTTTCCCCCTCACTCACAAATGTGGACCTCAGTACTGGGAAATTAGAATCTCCTTAAAGGAACAGTGTGTAGCATTTAGTGGCATCCTGCGGTGAAGTTGCAGATTGCAACTAACTGAACACCGCTTGCGCCAGTATTTGACGACCTGGAAATGAGAACGGGTTGTGAAGTGTGTCGAAAAAAACTACGGTGACGGGGGGAAAAAAAGGGCAAGGCTCTATTATGGAAACATGGAAGACGTACCTACAGCGTCTATAGATGATAACGGCTCATTCTTAAGTAACAAAAACACACAGATTCCTATATTCAGGTGATTATACACTAATGACAACCTAACTACATATTATATTCCATTTGTACCAACAGATCCTAAATGTTACACACTGGACCTTTAAATCAAGGACTCAAGGAATGAAATCATCCATTAAAAGTACCACATGACAAAATCCCAGTTTCAATCCAGTTTTATTTCAGCAAAGCTAAAAAGAACATATCTGACCTAACACACGTGATGGGACAAGGCTTAGGGTGTTGTAGAACAGTCTATTTGAGCAGAAGCATAATGTTTACACTTCAGAAACAGACAGTATTTACACTGTAGGTAGGGAGATGATTGACCACACTGTCAACCCACATTGCAGCATCGACTGAAAAAAGGACAAGAAGGACAGGAGGCTTCGATATGAATCTGCTGGGCAGTGATAAGAATACTTAAAAAAAAAAAAAAAAGCTTTATTCAGTGTTGTACAGTATTGGACGCCGATACAAACTGAATCTCAGGAACAAGGCAGGATGGCGACTGCACTTTGCTGTGCATGCTTATTGTGCATTCTATGGCTGAGAATAAAACACCCCTTTAAAGCCCCCCTAAGCCAGCTCTCTGACAAAAACCATCCAGGTCTGTCACAAAGACAGGGCAAACAGTAGTTATCCCGGGCCCTGAGCCGGGGAAGCAAAAGGGTCCAAACCATGATGACATTTTGTAAGGCCTATAGGCTAATACCTTCCACAGTCACACAAAATAAACACCACAACCCGCGACACCCCTTAAGATTTATTACCGCTTCAGGAATATAATACCCAGCCGTTAACATGCAAGGCAAGGTAGCATCCACTGGGCACCGGGGCTCTTTGCTGTACTTTCACAAGGGTCATTTTCTATCGTATCCATGGGCATGTATTATTCTACAAAAAGGCAGACACAAAGATACTCCATTTGATAAACTAATTCTGGTACTGGCAATTATTTACACACATAATAATGTATTCTTTTTCCCTTTTCCAGACATTACTATACACAATTTTTTGTCACCATCTGTGCTGTTACCTTGTTGTGCAACTGAAAATTACATCTCCTTATTTAAACGCAACTTTTTTCTTCTTTTTACTTCCTTTGATGAAAGAACAGCAAAAACTCAAACAAAAAGAGTAAATCCCACTTTCACTAGCGTTGATTAGCCAGAGGGTGGTGCTAGATGTAAAAAATATTTCTCAGAAACACCAAAACAACATTTATCCTACAAGCACAAGTCCCAGAATAGAATGAAGATATGCATATTCACCATAAACACACATCTAAGGGGAATTCTGGAAGAGTTGCTTCTACTTTGTGCTGTTCTTCACAGTGCATTCTTGGTTCTGTTGAGTCAAAACAGTGTGGAGAAACGTCGCAATGCCCCCGTGTGGTTGCAGAGTGGGCAGTGAAATTGAGGGTGGGCACTGTGGCTGGCAGGAAGCTCATTGCCATACATGAACAATAATAGTAACAATAAAATTAAAACAGTAACAAAAAGTTATCTTTGCACAAATCAGGACAGTCTCTCCAGGTGACAGAAGGCTACACAATTCATGTACCAGTAATGAGACTGTTTTTAAGGGTAGTGTCTGACTTTATCTGTCAAGTCCATCTCTGATCTTGAATCTACTCTGACATGTTTTCAGCTAATCATTCACCACACACATACAGTACAGTACAACACACAATACACACTCACAGCTCAGCATGCATACACACATATAAGTGTTCACAAACCTATACGGAGAATAGCCAACATAAATAAAAACAAACAAACAGTGTAAAGTTCCCTCCCTGACAATGGCTCTGTTCTGTCAGTGTCAATGACTAACAGTAACTTTGACATATTTTCTAGTTACATAATTGTCACGCACATAATCTCATCACCATAAAAAGGCTGCTTTGTTGACAGGAATTTCCCTAATTCTCTATGGATGACTCCGATTTTCATGCCAGGAAAGGCATCCTGCTATAGTGCAGAACAGCCAGAAAACCTGTGGGACACATGGGTTTTTCCTTTGTTTTGAGTAGTTTATATTGGCTATACCCTGTATATGCAAACACACACATCCGAACACACACACACACACACACACACACACACACACACACACACACACACACACTTATGAGTCCTCATTCATCTCTTGGCTATCTGTCCTGGCGATCTTCCTTGGGGGTGCTGGACTGTCACCCTCACCTTGTTCCTGTTCCCTTTTCTTTGCTGCATTCTGTGTGACACAAAGGATTAAACAGCAGTCAGTAAAATCACAGTTTCTTTTTAATAATAATCCAGCTACCAAAGACATCAATATATAATATTACTGTCAGTAAGTGAAGCCAGAGGTAGGAATTTAACTCCAAAGAAATGCACATGCTCACCTTTTTGTCCCACTGCTGATGGAGGTAACGCAGGAGGATGTTGGTTTTCTCTGTTACAATAACTGCAGAGCAAACACAGTCAGTCGGCATATTACTGAGCACAGTCTACACAAAACAATGCCAGTTTATCCTTGATTAACAATCTGTTAATTCATGTAATTATTAATATTGTAAGTGTAGTACTTGGCTCCCACAGTTTTGACCTTGAGCTCTTACCCCGGAGTCTGGTACTTACTCTGTTCAGAGGGGTATTCACGTGTTGGAAGATACACAGAGGGCCTCCGATTCTGTAAAACATGACAACAAGATCTTACAAATGACACTCGTGCATCCTCCTGATGTATTTTTTTTTTACTGTCTCCATGTAAATATTAACTTAAATATTATCATAGGCTACTTACAGACGCTTTACATACAGAGTCCGCATGAAACCTGCTGAAGTTGCTCTTATTGTAGACAGGGAGTCCTTTCAAGAAGTCTGCCTGTGGGGAGAAAAAAGGGTGAGGTGATGATTATACCCCGCAGCTCTTTTCTTTCATCTTGCATTCAATCTGAACCCCAAACACTGCAAGCCTCAAGTCCATCTGTCCATCCACCACGATTCTGCTTCTAGCAAACAAGACCCGTTCACCTGAGGCATTTCATAACAACAGTCCAAATTATCGGTGGGCATCGGCACAGCTGTGTGGGAGTTTAGTCTAATACAGATGTTACACAGACGGATGAGGAGTCCCTGCAAATGACTGCTGATACAGGACACCAGTCTGTGAGTCAGTGCTGGGCGTTCCCACATCCTAACAACCCCATGCACGCCAAAGGGGCCTGCTTCTGTCCCTGTACCGTCCCCCTAGTTAACCCCCCCCCCCCCCCTCCACTGGACGTGTGAATACCAGATAGGTCTACATCAGAATCTACAGCAAGAGGTTTCAAATGAGCCCAAACAGCGCTGAGCAGCTCAGAGCACAAACCGGTGCCGGTGCCGGTTTTGGCCTCGGTGAATGAATACCAGCAGGAGGAGCAGGTGTGGCTAGCAGCTAGCTCGTATGCCCTCTGACAACTGCAGTGCAGCTCAAGATAACGTCACACGTCTGGACTGTGTGACATAAATACCTTCTCCATGATGGTGGTAGTAATTCCCAACGTCGAAACGCCGACCTGTGGCTTGGTGTCTGTGGTGCTGGAGGTGATGGCAGCCAGTGTGAGGGCGCTCCGGTTAACGTTAGCCGCGCTAGCTCGCTGGCTAGTTAACGGAGACAGCTGCCCTGTAGGATCTCCTCCTGGTGAAGAAAACCGCGACCTTCACGCACAAGTTGTTGTTTCCATTTTAGATCCAAGTGTCCATGAAGAAAAAACGATACTACAATCAGAGAAAAAGCGCCCAGGTTGTCATTGCATGAGTTAGTAAAGCTAGTAACACGGGACTTCTGCAGCTAGCATGATGGCTGGGTGGTTAGCGACGCTTTCGTAGCCACGCCCCCCCGAAGAGCGGCCATTGGTCTAATCTTCGTCCCACGTGGTTCTAGTTGACCCTGACAGCCAATCATTAAACACCTCATATTTCAGATTCTTCCCTGAAACACTGAGTGATCAATCCACATGATGAGCTTCATTATAACAACCAGCGACTGACACACCAAGTTGGAAACTAACTTAAGGCTAATTCCATTCAATAACAGTCTATTATTTCATTATTTTATTTATCAATCCTATTATATATATGTATATTCTCAGAACCAGGGTATAAATACCAAAAACATTAGACAAAACATACTGAAAGACATTCTATTCTGTCCTCTGTGTTATCTTTTTAAGGATTAGATAATGTTTTTCACTCAGTTCAGTTCACTCATCTGGTGAGTTGACCACACTGAAAGACGTTTGAATCTGTGAATGGGTGTGGGACAGCGTTTGAGGGAAACACGACAGCCGCTGTCACATATGATTAACTGAAGAGTCAGAATATTCCTTAAACAAGGAGATCCACTGATATTTAAAATATGTAATAGTAGAATTTCTTGAGGGAAAAGGCACTGAGAGGCAATTTCAGGTGTTTTTAAGCTGCACCAATGCTCCTGCCCTTCTCTGAAAGGAATTCACTCTTCTTTTATGTTTTTTGATACCCAAGTATGTTCTCTTTTGCAACACAATAGTATAGTATCAATATCACCATATCCTAGTTAATAACCATCACAGTATATCAAGGTCAGTCTCAGAATCCAGTGGCTATCCTCTGATGATATGCATTTATACGTTCATAGAGATTATATGAAGATAAACTTTGAATTAACCATAATTTGCTACAGCTAATGAGACTATTATTATACGTGGCTCAGTGGGTGAGTTTGCTGGGTCTTGATTTCTGTGGTCTTCTCTCACCTCATTGGCACCTGCCTCCCGAACTCCTTACAAATAGTTACTTAGCAACCACAGCCATGGCAACTGCCACAGCACCAGCTCCTTGCTGGATGCTGGAGAATGGGATGTTGATAAGATGGAGGGAATATTCTTTGCTTTTGTGGAATATGTTTAAATAACTTGAGAGGTTTTGTGTTAAACAGATTCGACAATATTGTCGATTTCATAAAAAAATTCACAAAATGCTTCAAACTTAGTAAATGAAAAGGCGAAAGGAACCTTTTAGAGCATGTAAATAAGGAAACAACATACCAGATTTAACCAGATTTAAGAGATTTAACAAACCAACCATACTGTAAGGGAAGTAGTGACTACTGTGTGTTGTATAGTGCTGTGTGTGAACCCACTGGAGGAGGCTGTGCAGGTTATTTTGATATCACTGAGGATGACCGATTCACCTCTAATATTATTCCCACATAACATTTTTGGTGGCAGTTTGTTGCTAACTTGAACAACTAAAAGTGTTAGGTCCTAAAAACTCTGGACACATCTCAGCTCAATAGGTATTAGGCCTACACATCTACACACTGTATTGTGATAGCCAATAAAGTAATTGGTAGACTAGTGCATCCATTAATTCACCACCATTAACAGTTATGATCGTCTGGGGTTTGCAGACTTGTGACTGTGGACAACAATTTGAAAAGACTCAGTCATCATTTAAACAAGTTGCTTTAAAATTTGTTGTTCACTTTAATTTATTATTACAAGCTAAAAAAAAATAAATGAATTAATTTGAAAGTTGTTTAGGCCAAGGGTTCACAAACACATTAGACCATGGATCCCCTTTGAGTATTTTTATTTTATTTTCAGGTTTGAAGATCAGAATCAGAATCACTTTTAATGGCCAGGTATGTGCGCACATACAAGGAATTTGACTCTGGTTTTACTTGCTCTCAAAGTACAAACACAGACTAACAGCGTAAATGAACAGAACAAGTTCAACAAAAAAGACAACAAACATTTTAGACAGTAGACAATAGTGCAATAGTGCAGAGTGCAAAGGGTGCTGAAATAAATATTTTACATGGGGTAGGTGGATATGACAATTGTAAATACAGTACGTACAGTATGCACAGCATAGTTAGATGTATTAGAATAGTATTTATTTTATTATGTTTTAATAAGAAACTGAATTTTCAACAATGGGAAAATAAGTAATAAATAGAATGAGATAATTAAGTCTTTATAATCAATCAGTGATTGTAGAATACAATTGATCAAAAGAGTCAAACATATCTCTTCCTTTCTTATTCCAACTTCCAAAAAAATATCTCAAAAGTTTAACTATCCTATTCCATCTTGGTCCCCGACCTGCTGTTTGAAAACCACTGAATAAGTCTACTCTTTACACCACCGGTAATACAACATATAACCTATATTTATTTACTTTAAATACAGGAGTTGTTTTTTTTGTCTTCACTCGTTGCCTGGCGTCACGCAGCAGCAGGGGGCAGCTCTTCACACCCAAGAAACTGAACCTGGAGGTTACAGCGGTTCACACGCACACACACACACACACACACACACACACACACACACACACACACACACACACACACACACACACACACACACACACACGCACGCACGCACGCACGCACACACACACACACACACACACACACACACACACACACAGAGTTGGATGGATTAAAAACACCCTGACATCCAGCGGAGCTCCGGCGCGTCTCCACCGATATTCCAACATGGACCCAGAGTGCTGGAGCGCACAGATATTTCTATTTGCCTGTGAACCGCAGAGCAGAGAGATGGACTGTCAGTGGACTGATACTGTCCGCCATGTAGAGGCTACCTACAGGGACAAGAGAATCCAGATAAATTAGATTATTGGATTGACTGCAACAGATTATAGCTCTTCTACTTCCTCGATGCTTCATAAGAAAAGCACATCAATCTGATCATATTGCACGCGGAGTTTGTAATATAAAGGTAAGCATTTAAGCATCTTTATTGGCGCCTGTTTCTTATTTTACTTTTTATGTATATGTTTCGGTATTCTTTATCCTGCAGATTATTGGCAACAGACAAGAACTAGGTCGCTGCACATCAAGTTGCGTTGCAGTTGACCGAGACAACACATGTACTGTTACAAATGTGTTATAAAATGATGAAATAAAATTAAATATAGTACTGAAGTAGACTACAAAGGTAAACATTCTGGCACATGCCACATTTGCTACAGCCGACGGCAGTCATGGCCTATTCAACTCGCTTTATTGTTATTAGTGAATAGATGGGGACCATTAGCTTCACCCAAAACACAATGGTAAACACATTTTATTCAACAAAAATCAGCAACAAAGCTACTTTATTATGCAAAGAAGCGCTTATGTTGTTACCTGTGTGAACTTTTTTTTGTTATTACTCAAATTGGTCATATAAATAACCGAATTTGGCTCAAAAATGCACAAATGACTTTGCTGAACACTGTATCTAATCACTCTCTACATGGATGCAGAGTTTCTAATCAACTTCTGGGTAAATGCTGTTTGATTAATTAACTTACTTCATTCAAAAGTTACTGAGTTTCTCATCAGTTGTGTTTACATGCAGACAGTGAGGGTATAATTATCTTAAGGTGTGTAGGACACAGTAGGCTACTATAATACTGTTCTTTCATGCAGAAACTTTCCATGAAGAAGTCCTTCAAAAATATATATTTTAAAGATAAATAAATTAAAGCAAACAAGTGCAATGTCTAAGAACATGTAATTGCAGTGATGTGGTGTGATTTAACAAGCCAGGGTCTATCAACAGTGAACTTTCTGTAGTTGTTTTAAATCCTCATGACAGTCTGTGCTCTTTTCTTGGCACCAGCCTCCTCTGTGATTGTGTCTGACCTACGGGGATTGTTATATAACAGCCTCCTGCAGCCACTGACAACAGAAGCCATGCAGTAGTGACTACAAGAGAACTCAAACTCACTGCAGTGCTTCCTTATACAATGTCCAAATGGAAGACATCAAGCACAGGAAGGCAAACCATAACAAACCACAGCTCTAGGATTTTATTGAAGTGTGTTTGATGCAGTATTGTGACTGAGGTGGTCAGTTTGGTCTTTGGACCAGCTTGATAATTGGGGTGTAAAAGTGAAAATAGCAGCCCTTGCCTTTCCCTCATTACCGTTAAGGAGTTGCCCTTTAACAAGGCAGTTAACACCTGACTGCTCCAGTGGCCAACAGAAGAAACAGTGGTAGTACTGGGCAGGTACTCCCAGTGGTGATGTTGTATAACTTTGCGAAATGTTGCAAAGTCCTCCTCCTGAGGTTTCTTCCATTTTGTTGTTGTTAAAGGGGTTTTTGGGGGATTTTTTCAGTCTAAGAACAGATGGTGTTGTAGCTTATACTGTACAGATTCTAAAGCACCCTGAGGCAAATTTGTGATTGTAATATTGGGCTGTATAAATAAATGGACTTGACTTGATGCTTTAAAAGAGCACAGAGGTAGTTTCCACCTGTCTAGGGAGTCCACAATGCTGCATCAAATATGATCTGCTTTGTAACAGTGAGGCCTCATCACTACCATCCCAGATATGTTTAAAGACGGTCTGTATAGTCCATCAAACTGAATGAAGTTCAACATGCAATACAAGTGAGAATTGAATCTGCATCATCTAAGAGTATCTTGCATCATGCACAATGTTTTCTCGCAAGCACTTCTTATGATGGTGCTAGTCCTTGTGAAAAAACTAACAGCATTCATGCTGTACTCACCGGATTAAATGTATAGACTATAGACTTACTACACAACACGACTTACTAACAGAAAGCAACAGTGCATTTCTAATATCTAAGGTGGATACGGGGAATATGGTTATTTAAAAGGGGTGGATGAATTGGTGTTTTTATGTCTGTAAGGGTAGAACTTTGGATTTGGATTGGTTGAGTAGATAGAAGTAAAATATACATCTATTCTCGTTTACATTTTTGATGTGAACAGACCCTAAGAAACAGACTGTCACCACAAAATGCACAACATCACAGGTCACAACTTGTGCCTGGATAAGAGATGCCTTTTGGAGACAAGAATAATACTAGAGGTGGATGTGTCACCCTCAGTGATATCAAAATGGCCTGCTCAGCCTCCTCTAGTCGGTTCAAACACAGCACTGTACAACACTGCTGTTTGGATAAAGGATGTGCAAGTATAAGCAGAAAGGGCACTAGAATAGCCAGCAAAGCAGGAATGCTGTATTACATTGTATCCATAATCCCCTGATGAAAAGTTGCTGATGGGTTGCAAGAATAGAAAAATATGCAACAAATAAAAAAAGAGGGTAAGATTGTTGTCGTACAGTGTCACTCTGTTGTCACCCAGAGAGGAGATAGACAGATTGTGTTGTGTGGACTTAGACAGAGACAGAGAGTATAATCCCCTCTAGCAGGGAGGGGAGCAACAGGAAGGATAAAGCCACCAGCAGGGAGACTTGCATGGCTGCTATGCAGTTGCCATGGTTCATAATCAACCTAACTGTATGTACTGTACCTGTGGTGTATATGAGACATGCATTAGTCTAATCTATTCTTTGGATATTTACTTTGCTGATGGTAAATAGTTCAACTTCGTGGAGAAGTTGTTTTTGTAGGTGGTTGTAATATGGAGTAATTTTTAAATCCAGCTTTTGTTGTGCATATTTATAATTTCTCCACAGTATCATAACATGTGAGGACTGCCATACATAGCTAATTTTAATGCGTGTGCAAATGTGTTCAATAATCTAACTCTTCATATTCTTTAATATGACTTAAGAATCATACTTACTGGGCTATACTGTACTCTCAAAAAGCACCGTTAATTACTGTCGGTTGTTTTGTGGTTTTCACTGACCGTATGGCAGCGTGTGCCGGTGCAGAGTGGTCACATGGAGGACAGCTTTAACCCAGGGAGCTATTACTGTCCCCGTCTATTAATACCCCCAAAGTCTGCGCTGAGGGAAGATGCTGCTCAGTTACGTCTGACAGAAAGTCTCAAGGGTTTGAGTTGTAGGAGAACTTGTTTACTTCTTTGAATCGTACATTTAAGGTTCCCAGATGCTTTCTCCTTTGATGTCGAGATGTTCTGAAGACAAATAAGAATAATTACAGTAATTTTGGGGCAGATGTTTATACTGATATTTGAGAATAAGACCATTATGATAACAATTTAATTGTAAGTGCATAGAGTAAACTTATATATATACTTACAGTAGGTATATTAATCCATATGCACTTATTGATATGGCTGATATGTCTTTTTAATACTCCACCTTCCTTTCCCTTTTTATGGTATACACAGTGTGTTTTTGTTTTGATATAATGAATCTGAATCAGTATAAAATAAAACCAAAAGAAAAAAATTTGTTTAGTTGTTTATAGTTGTGATCTGCCAGTATTGGGCAATAAAAACAGACCATATATATCTGTTGGTGTGGCTCCAATAGACAAAAAATTACATTCATCAGTAAAGGACATTGATGGGTTGGGGGGGGGTTGATGTATTCAAATCAATTCAATTCAGTTTGAACAGAAATAGATTGGGTTTGTTTTTGTTGTTTTTTGCGAGTTTCTCAGCCTCCTACACACTGGGCCTGTAAAGATATAGCTATTACTGTCCTTATGAAGAAAATTTACTTTAATATTTTTTTTATGCACATTGACCTGAAACACAATAACACGCACACAGAGCTTATTGACATGCAAATGTGGAGAGATTGTGGAGTGATAGGCTGCCAGCTAGCTGCACCCCAGGAGCAGTTAGTCTAGAGTACTTGCTGTAAACATGTTGTATGCTTTTATAATTTATGTGCCTTTGTTTTTTTTATTGACCTTGATTCATGTGTGCTTTTATATGAATGTATTCCTACAGACTGGCAGCCATGCTGACCAGCTTTATAGAGGGTATTCTCTGCTGCCTGACCTCAAAGTCGGCCAACGTTGTGGTTCCTGTAGAAACCTCAGAACCAGCTGATGGCTACGAGTTTGTGGAAGTGAAACCAGGCCGTGTCCTGCGGGTTCGCCATATCATCCCTGACCGGCCTGTGGTGGAGGAACCCACTGGGCAGGGTGGGATTGTCAGCTGCAAACGAAAGATCACAGTATATCGCAATGGACAGTTGTTCATTGAGAACTTGGGTGACAGAGCGAGTGCAGAGCTGAAAACCTGCCAGAATGGAGATACAGAACCAAACAGCACTGTAGAGGTTGAACTGACAGACTGCGGTAACTCCTCACCGCCCGTCTGCATCCCAGAGACCAGGTCTGACTCTGTCACAGCTGGAAAAGACGGGACATCTGAAACAGGAGGAAGAGGAGTGGCACCTGCTTCTGGACAGACTGACCAGTCGCAGCAGCCCAGGAAGCGTAGGCGGAAGCCAAAGCGCACTGTGGTAATCGACTGTGAAAGGAAGATATCATCCTGTAAAGGGACACATCAGGATGTGGCTCTGTTCTTCATCCATGGAGTGGGAGGCTCACTGGACATCTGGGGAAGCCAATTGGACTTCTTTTCCAGGCTGGGCTATGAGGTGATCGCTGTGGACCTGGCAGGTCATGGAGCCAGCTCATCACCACAGATAGCTGCCGCCTACACTTTCTATGCCCTGGCTGAGGACATGAGACTCATCTTCAAGAGATATGCACGCAAGAGGAATATTCTCATAGGACATTCTTATGGGTAAATTTAAGAACACAACATTCAAGTAACATTTAGAGGATTTAGAAGATTATAAATTAAAGTGAGAAAGAAAAAGACACTTAACTGAATTTGTTTTGTTGCCTATAACAGACATGCAATGTCAGAGTTTCTCATTTACATACAGTATTGTGTAGCCACATCAAGTACAGTATCAGTGAAGTGAACTTATATAATTTATGTTCATTTATTGAATCTACAGAAGCTTTCATAATTGCTAAACCATTTCATTCATTTAGTAAGTGAAAAGGGCAAACCTTTGCTGGTCCCAGCTTCTGTATTTGCTGCTTTATCCTTTTTATATGATTAATGTCTTACAGTAAACATATTTGAGGTTAAAAGAAGAATCTCCCCCTTACAAATTGTTGCACAAATATAATTGATCAATACATTCAGTGGTTTTTCCATTATAGTGGTATGATCAGTACCATATGGTGGCTAATGTTTGCTTGTATTAACAAACTTTATTTTGGTATTACTTTGTAACTGATACACTACATTTTACCATTTTAGTGATTCATTTAGCAAAAGTTATATTGTGTCACTTAAGGTTTTGGACAGTTGGTCAAATAAAACAAGTAAACAAGGAGAAGTTGAGAGATACCCATAGCGAGCGGATATTTTTCACAAATTTCTCACATTATATATGAAATACACTGAAGAACAGACATGTCATGTACTACAATACACAAAACAATCATATATTTATTTTACAGCTGCTATTCAATATTGCAGTGCTAAAGTGCTTTTATTTCATCTGATGAATAAGTGTATGCTTTACATTCTTCCAACACATTTTCCAGATAGGTACATTCTACTTTAAGAAAACTATCACAGAACAAACAGCATGGTTACGTTGATTCTTCTAGCCTGTCCTCTAACCAGCCCTCTGTTCTGCTTGCCTAGCGTGTCGTTCTGTACCTTCCTGGCCCATGAGTATCCGGAACAGATTCACAAAATGGTGATGGTCAACGGAGGTGGTCCCACAGCTCTGGAGCCCAGCCTCTGCTCCATCTTCAACCTGCCCACCTGTGTGCTTCACTGCCTCTCCCCACTGCTAGCCTGGAGCTTTCTCAAGTAAGACAGCAACACAGCAACAACAATAACAGTAACAGAGACAAAATTGTTATTTTTGGATGATCTGTCTTCAATTAGTAGACAAAACAATAATGAACTGCTTCAGATGATTTTACCAGCCAAAATAATTACTATGCATATTTCATTTTTAAGCCATTTGTAATTCAGGTAAATCTCCCCTGCTATGCTCCCTACAGGGCTGGCTTTGCTCGGCAGGGTGCCAAGGAGAAGCAGCTGCTGAAAGACAACAATGCCTTCAACGTGTCGTCCTTTGTGCTCCGCGCCATGATGAGCGGGCAGTACTGGCCTGAGGGGGACGAGGTCTACCATGCTGAACTCACTGTGCCCACCCTGCTGGTTCACGGCATGCACGACAAGTTTGTCCCAGTCGAAGAGGACCAGCGAATGGCAGAGGTGAGAGGGCCTCTTTTAGCCCAAGATTCAGATTGTTAAACTGACCCTACTAAAGACACTGTTGTCATGGTGTGATATAGTTTTCATACCATAATCAAACAAATGGAAAAATCTATTTAAAAATCTTAAAGCAGCTATGATTAATACTTTTGTATTAACAATCACATAACTATGACAGAAAATTATCACCTTACTCTGCAAAAAAAATGCTAAAAAGTTCACAGTATATAACAACTAAAAAGTGATATGTCAGTGTTGTGTTAACAGTTTGTTATTGTAGGTTTAAGGTTTGCTTTTGTCAACAATGATCAACAGTAATGTAAAGTATAAGAAATTGGGGTTTAAACATTGCAATTACTTTAGGATTTAGGGATTGTTGTGTAGAAGCACTCTAAAAAAAGTAAATTAGAAGACCAGATTTTTCCCTTCAGTGAACTCAACAATGAAACGTGATTGTCCTTGTCCCACCAAATTGTATCACTAAAAAAGATTGGGGTCATAATTGCAACCAGGGCAGTGCCTTGGCACAAGTAGCACAAGCGCCTTGGCACAAGTGCTTTTGATGATGATTTCAAAATCTAACTTCTTTTTTTGCTTTCTGTCAGATCCTCCTAATGGCCTTCCTGAAGGTCCTGGAAGATGGTAGTCACATGATCATGATGGAGTGTCCCGAGGCTGTCAACACACTGCTGCATGAGTTCTTCCTCTGGGAGCCAGCCACCCCTCCACCACCAAAGAAGGAGTCCAAAACACGTCCAGAGACTGCCAAAGCCCAAACTGACAACACCAAAGCTGCATCGGACCCTTGCAAAGTCCGACCTGCAACAGCTAGGCAGACCTCATCAAACGGCGGCACAGAGGAGAAGCCAAACATCACGGATAGGAAATGACTGAAGATTAAAGGTGGAACTTCCAGTGGTTGTTGCACTATATCAGCTGGCCATGCACTTTGTGGGTCCTGATAAACTGAGCTGGTTTTAGCTGTTAAACCTGATGCTGAGCCAAAAGAGCCAGTTTATTTGAAATGGTTCAGCTAAAGGTTGCACAAGTGAAGGGAAATCAAGTCTGATTCCAGTTATGATAGCTGCTGAGCTGAAGGGCCGAGGAACCTGAACACCATTACTGGATGCTGAAGGTCCATTCTTCAGCTTACAGCTCAATGTCCACAGCATACAGCGTGAAAGATATCGCTGTGCCTTGAAGTAGAAGGTGGTGATGATGCCAGGGTAGGTGTAGCAAAAGACATCAACAATAACGTATAGCCATGAGGGTGAAGGTGAAAATCAACAGTCAAGTGGCAAAAGTGATAACATTTGACTTTTGTGGACAAATCAAAAAGTGTCACCTGCCATATTGTCAGCCAAATATAAAAAAAGAAAACTCTTGATTGCCTGGTTATTCCTAAAATGTGTAAGAGAAAAGCAAAACAAATGGTTTGTATGAAACATGTTACGCTGCCCTACATGAAGCAGCAGACGAGTCTAAACCTTATGGAAACTAGCTAGATGGTAAATTAGCCTACTTGAGGTTTAAAATATTGATACAATCATGTGAAATGTCTATTTGTGTATGTTTTGTAGCTAGATTTTTTTTTTTCCATATAATGAATTTTAAAGCTCACCTCTTGTAGAGGTGGGAAAGCATTTGTTGATTGAAAATGTACATTTACTATTTTGTCCATTTTCTCTGTTCTTTGGCACCTCTAAGAGGTGAGCCAGAACATTATTCTTCTCAATGCATTAGAGGTTCACAATCCTAGACGTAGCCTTAACTACTATTAACCCTAGTTATGAGATTTAAAGGACCAGTGTGTAGGATTTAGTGACATTTAGCAGTGGAGTTTCAACCATCTGATAACTCCTCACCTCACCCTTCCCTTCCAAGCATGTAGGAGAAACTACAGGGGGCTACTTTCCTGGGCTACTGTAGAAATATGGCTGTTCAACATAACAGCTTATTCTAAGGCAACAAAAATTCTTATTTTCATGTGATTATACACTAAAACATACTTGTGAATATTGTATTCCATTTCTGCCAATAGAGCCTCCTACATTTTGCACACTGGTCCTTTAAATAGCTGCTGCTGGTATAAACCAGAAGAAAAGGTGTTTTGTGAGTGATTGAGTTGTGACTTGTGAAGCTGAACAAGTGAAGAATGATCAAGTTCTGATAAGGACAGAAGTGAAAGTAAGTTTGCTGATTAGAATTCAGGGAAATGTGTGTTCAGTCAAGTGTGTCCTGTTTAATCTAGCGAATGGTTGAGGCTCAGCAACAAATCATAACCTTGTATGGACAGAATGGGCCAAAGATTTTGCACAAATCTCGAGTACATGATGAGATGTTAAATCAATAATAGGAAGGCTTGTACATCAGGGAAATGCTAAAGTGGGGTTTAATAAGAATCCACCCCAACCTGAACCACACTACAGTATGTTTGATGCCATTTTAAAATATAAAATGTTGCATTGTAGCCAAGAGCTGGTACTGTAGCATGTTCGATAGCGGAAATACCCACTATGACAATAAGTGACTGAAAGTCACAGATACTATATTATCAACTTCCATGTGGTACAAAGCACTTTAATGGTTCTTCTATTTCCTGCAAAAAAACAAAAAAAACAAAACAATGTGTAAGCAGCTGTTGAATATATTAGAAGTATTTTATAAACCCATTTAAAAAATGTTATGGTAATATAACCATCTGTGCAAGAAGATTTGCTTGAATGCATTTATTGTTCAGAGAATATTAAGCATTCATTTCCCACGAAAACTATGCTATTCTGCAATATTTTTTTAACCTACAGAAGTTAAGCTCTAATATATTAGTATTATACTGGTACAAAAACTGTATTTTCACTCACCTCTGAGTATTGTTGAGTCTGATGCATGAACATAAGAAGCCAACAGTTGACTGTATCATTGTATCATATCATAACACTATATTTAATTCAGTTAAACAGTTTATTGTGGACATCTGTGCTATAACTCCACAGGCCACACTGCCTGCATTAGGAAGCTATTAAATCCTCTGTGACTGTTTATTTTTTATTTTTACCACTACAATAATGTGTATATGTCTTTATATTAACTGACATGTTGTTGCTGCAATAGTTCTGGTATTTGTTATGTTCACAAACCCTCTCTGAGCCTCTAACATTGAAAGATCTAAAGTTCAGTTCATATAAGGTGTGAATGAAACACAGATTTGATAGTGTTTGATGGTTTTATACATAGACTATTCTTTTTATACACTGTACTTTTATTTGTGATGGATATTTAGAGATTTAACCAAAAACTGTAGCTGGGTATTCACTGAATCAATAGAAGATTCAGCTACGATCAGAAAAATGTGGTTGAGACTCGAGCTCATTAAAGGTTTGCTTATGACTGTGATGAATTTGATGAAACTGTTTGTGTTATATCTTGTGTGTCTTAAATTGTGTAACTGTTTGTAACTGCCTTTGACAATAATTACACAAACTGCTGATTTAAAAAATGTTCAAAAAGTAAATTACTGTGAGTTTTCAACAGTTTGACCCTTGTCTTTTATATTATAATTTATATTTCAACTTGATACAATTTTGAGTGACTTTTTGTTTAAATCTGAGCAGCTTCCTTGTTGAACCACAGTCTATTAAGCAGTCTGGTGTTAAGTCCATTGCTCAAAGGCGCTCCAGTGGTGGGTATTTTGGATGTAACTTAGTCACTAATTTTCCTGGTGACCAGAAAATGAAACTGGCAACCTTTAGTCACACACCCTCCTGTTTCGCCATATGTCACATCTTTTAATGATCACTAGCCGTCAGATTTTAACCCAGATTTTGCTTAATTTTTGATGAGTGAATGGAAATATGTGACATTGTTTTTGCAACAGAGCCCTGCCCACTTCAAATCAGTCAGAAGAGCACTTAAACCTCTCTGAGACTGTGAGAAAATGTTACATACTGATAGAAAATTTATTTTTTGGGGCCTTTAAAAGATGTGACTGACTTGGTAAATTATGAAGTTATAAGTCTATGATGAAAAACAAAACCTTAAAATCACAGCAAATACTCTGCATAAGTATTTTTCTTTGTAAGTCTTTTAATGAAATGTCACAGTGTCACATAACAAATTTTGAACTTATTTTGAATAACAGCTATATCAGATATATATAAATGTAGACTATAGCATCATCATTATTTAGCGAGGAAATGAATACATAAACTAACTAAAATATAAAGGGTTATGAAACAACATCTGTTGTATATTTAAAAATTTAGTTCTTAGATATGTAACTATACAGTAACCCTAGTTTGACAACAGCATCCAGTAAACTTTGCTCACAGAAATTATAATATATTTGCATCCTAACACTTTTACTACTAAAATATGTATAACTTAGTTTAAATCATAGTTTTGGAAATTGACATTAAAATTTGATCCAAATTCTTTAACAAATTTCAACCAAAACCACACTGTGTTAAACTTTTACAATGTTTATACATTCATAAAGTATATTAAAAGAAAGCATTCAGCTGAAGCAATTATTTTCAAAACCCCTGCAACCCCTCTCAGACCACAGTGACAGTGGGACCATTGCTTTTGTCCTCCAGTGGTGTTGTCTCTGTGGAAACCTTTTCAGGTTCCTCTTCTTTGTCTCCCTTCCCTCCGTCAGCCACAAGAGGAGCACTCTCTGCCTCCTCCTGCTGTTCTTTGCTGGTAGTGCTGGCTGGCTGCTCAGCCTTCTCTTCAGCTGGCTGCACTGCTGCTTTGGTTTCATTGACAATCTGGACGGAGTCGGCTGCAGAGGCCTGCACTGGTTTCACTTCCCCATTCTGGACAGGGAAGACACCCTCCATTGCGTCGTACAAGAACTGGTACTGCTCCTGTTAGAGACAGACAGATATGAGTGGTATCATAAAGATAAGGTTCTATTCTTAATCTTTAAGATCATATTATCACACGCCTTTCATAAACGATACAATACCACACAGAGAGCACCAGAAAACAGCTTTGAATGATAGGCCAAAACCAACAATGAGCATCCTGCTACTGATTTAGGACATCATTCAACTGATTGTAAAAATGAAAGTAGACATAAGTGACTTGTTTTTCAAGATTTACATTATCAGTGGGACTAATGGGCTTGGGTCTGACATCACAGACGGGCTAAGGAAGTCAGAGAGTACTACAAGATAAACAAGTTAGTTTTGGTCTTTTCATGGTATTTGTTGACAATAACAGAAATATAGAATATAATGACCATAATTCTTCAAAACAACATATAAGCAAAAAAACTGAATTGAAGGGGCATTCAAAGTGACCTTTAAGTGTTGTAATGTAAAATAGCAAATGGAAAGAAAGAGGTATATACAAATATCTGTCCATTATTGACAGTCAGTTACAATACTTTTCACTCTATGCACTTTTAGAAGTTGAAGCTGTGAAACTGTGTGCTGACAGATAGATATTGAGTTCCTCTTTCTTTTTATGTTTTTTTTGGGGGGGAGGGGCTTTTTCCCCTTTTTTTATTAGACAGGCCAGCTGACAGGAAATGGGGTAGAGAGAGAGAGAGAGCGAGAGAGAGAGAGAGAGAGAGAGAGAGAGAGAGAGAGAGAGAGGATGACACATGGCAAAGGGCCACAGGTATGACTCCAACCTGGTCCACCTGACAAGGACCAGGTGAGCTATCTGGTAGCCCCAGAGTTCCTCTTTCTTACCAGGCTCAGGAACATGCCCTGTCGCTCCTTGCGTAGGGTTTTGGTCACCTGGAAAACATCTACCAGCTTCTCACTTTCAGCACTGTCCAGCAGGTTCCACAGAGCACAGAAAATCCCTGAACGGGTCGAGCCATTACTGAGGAGAGGGAGCAAACACACATATAAAAAGGTTAAGATTACACACATTAGTCAATTCCCCCATGAATCCCTTCAACTACACTTTTTCTGGGTAATAGTGGACTGCAGCATATCCTATTTATCAACCTGCTTCTCCCTAAATATTCTGAATATATTAGATTGGATGTTTAGAATTTCACACAAATAAAACTATAACTATTTCTGCTCTGTTCATACATCAATCATGTGATCACCGGAGAGCTGCTCATAAATGTTCCTCTTACACTTTGCTGTATAGGTTAATGAATGTATTTTATTGTTCACAAGTGTAATGCTTAGAAGTTTGAGAAATATGGGCTCATTTGTTCAATCCAGTTCATACCTATAGATGATTCTGTGTCTTTAGTCTATTCCAGCTGGAGAAAAGAACATACAAACTCCACACAGAAGAGAATCATATACATATTCCTATATGTCTTTCTTGTAATGAGTTAACAATAGGTGGGACAAGGGGGCGGAGCTTTACACCACTGTATAGCTTGGTGTCAAATGATATCTGACCTTTATCAAGCTCTTTAAGCTGAAGGAATCACAACTTGGGTCTGCCCAGAAACTCAAGTAGATTGGGGAGGAAATTTCTTCCAAAAGAGATTGCAGGCTCCAAATTGAGCTTTTTGAAAGCTGTGAAAGCTTTATGAGAAAAAACTGGATGTGTCATGGTCATAGACATACTGCCCCTTTATGATTCCGGACGACATGTCTTACTTGCAGTGGACCACGATGGGTATGGGTATGTTCCTCTGTGATTTGCTGCTGCCACAGCTGTGCTTGATGTCCTTGATCATGTCTGTGAGATCTTGAGGTTTCTCCGGCAGCTCTCCGCTCGTCCACTTCAGGAACTGGAAGTGTTTCACCGGCCGACTCTCTTTCCTCTGTCGACAGAAGAGGTGTTAAAACATCTTGTGATGCTGAAATGACCAGTCACACCACAATCTGACACCGACAACTGTAATGGATTATCTGACTGTAATCCATTACAGTTGCCTCAGATTACAGTTACATTTAGTAAAAATGGGGATTATTAGCAGGATTACAATAACACATAAACAAATAAAGAATGATATATTAGTGTAAGTAAAGTGCAAGTTAAAAGTAGAAACACATTTTGATTCTCAAAATCTTGGTTTCCCTATTTTCTTTTCTAAGGTTACATTGTTCTGTTATTGATATTTCTCTTGTCTATTTATACATTTGGCGTTGAGTTAATCTAAAAGTAACGGAACTTCAATATTGTAATGCTTGGATTAGGTTACTGGTTGCATTTTTTAAAGGTAATTAGTCATTGTATCGGATTTTTAAAAGAACCCTCCTCATCCTACTGATAAACATCTAAACAGAGCAGACTTTGTTAGAACTACAGAGTTGGTTGTTGTTGTGTTACCTTGACATGACGGATCAGCATGTTGCGGGTGATGAAAGTTGGGGAGGTGTCTGTGCTTGCCACCTCCACCTCAAAGTCTCCAAATGATTTCTTGTCTTTATCCCAGTAGACACAGTCAGACTCCTGTGAAGACCCACAAGAAAACAGGTGCATTTACAATATATGTCTTAAGAAGTGTATTGTAAATGTAAGGCACATATAATATTATACATCACTATGTGAGACTTTAAGTACCTTGTCTTCCTCACTACAGTTTGACAACATGACAATAGTAGATGCTTTCTTCTGGTAAACCATCGACCAGAAGTCAGCCATTGTGTCTGGCAGTGGCGTCTGTGCTGCGATGAAGGTGCGTGGGCCCCAGTAACCCTGTGTGGGAAAGAAAACACATCCGTCTATTGTTGTACACAGTCCAAACAAATAGGATGTGATGAATTTAATTACACTTGTTTTAAAATTCAACTGGCTGCATGAAAGATGGGAATTCATTCAGAGTTAATGAGATAACACCTGCTACCACAGGAAAGATGGTAACAAGAACACAGTTTGTCATGTTTCAATTAAACAAACCTGGCATCCAGTTTTATGCAGAAACTGGTTAGTAGATAAACTGAAAGTGTCAGTAAAATAAACTTACATCTATGTGGGAGGCATTGATGTACTTTGCGGATTCGTCATCCTCCTCATCTGATGACTCTTCCTCATCATCCTCATCGGGTTCACTATCACGACTGTGTCCTTCATCAAGCCTCAGCAACACTCGGTTGAAGTCATCTGAATGTGGCAGGTTTGATATGTTATGACTCAAGTGAAACTATAAACATATTGCACACACACACTAATATACAATAACTGTTATTCTATAGTGACTGGCTTGTCCCTGTTGAGCTGATACTCACATGGGATGGCATCTGAAGAGCGATTCTTCTTCTTGTTTTCTTCTGTGATCCCAGTGTTGAATGTCCTCCAGTTTTTAAAGGCGGGGAGTCTCTGAATGGCAAAACAAAGACTATTTGATTATTAAGTCATTTAAAGTGATACATTAATGCCTGTAAATTCTTTTAAATCAAGTTATACAAGGTGGGAAGGGAAAAAGGTAAAAGGACAGAAGGAATATGTTTTAAAATATATTTTAAAGGCATCAGAAACACATTTTTTTTAATGACAGTGACAGATGTTGAGTGCTATTAAGGTGAGATGTTTTAGGTGATTTACAATATTGTCTCTTCCTCATACACTGTTACCACATGTTGCTATGTGGTTAGAGGTGCAGTTTTACAAAAGTCAGTTACTTACTCTGCTTAAATCAAACAAAATCCAATTTATGTAAAAGTGGCCACAATGCATTGCTTTACAGATGAATACATCATTTATAAATAATAAGATAAATATTAAAGTGCCGTACCTCAAACTCCTCCTCCATTAAGGTAGGTTCATTGCCCGAGTTTTTCTGTTTGAGCGTGCTCAGCGTGCTATGGAGCTCAGGCAGGGTGATCTCAGTCTCTCCAAACTGATTGTGCTCAAGCAGCGCCTGGTGAATCAGGATGTACTGGGCCTGTGAGGACAAAAGTATTTATCTTAATGGATAGAACATATATGCAAAGGACAAACTGCTATTAAGTTACACAATCCACAGCCTTCTAAATATGTTGTCCACCCAATGTACAACTATATGAAAATATAACACATACATATACTGCACATGCTCAGACACAACCTACTTCTGCTTCTGCCCTGTGGTGGGCGCTAGACAGCGATGAGCGGCAAAATAACCACAGACAAGAACAGTTTCATTTCACACACCAGCACAGTCATGAACAGTTAAACCAGCCATGTGAGATCACTTCAGTTTCTCTAAAATAACCCTGAAATGGCCACGTATTTTATACTGTATACAGTATGTATACTATATCCTAGTGTAACTCATTCAAGATGTTTTGTGTATTAGCTGCACATAATGGACTTTCACAGTGTGTCATCAGTCAAGTGACAGATAAAAAAGGTAAATGTATTAATTACATTTACTTTTAATGTATGAATAAACTCTGAATAAAAAGGGAAAAGTTTGTCAAGTAATTATTCAATTTCAGTATTCTGTCTTAAATTAATTATTAACTAATTCTACTTATTTGCTGTACATAATAGCTGCATTTACTTTTATGTATCTTTGTCTCACTTTATCTTTATTTATCTGAATGTTCATGTTAGTTTCCTTCCTGTATGTTTGTGTGTGTGTGTTTGTGTGTGTGTCAACTTATGCAGCAACTAAACTTAACTCTAATTCTAATGACACACACACACACACACACACACACACACACACACACACACACACACACACACACACACACACAGTCCCAAATACAATCTGAATTCATATATTATTACCTCTACTTGAACCATTAGACATCTCTGTCTGCGCAGTCTGACTACATAACCGTAGATGTCCACTCTGCCTTCTGCCTCCAGACCCTCCATCATGGCATCAATGCCAATGTAGGTGCCCGTCCTACCGACTCCCGCACTATGAATGAGATAATAACATTGTGTTAATACATTTTTATCATCTATGTTTTTTGGGGGCAAGTAGAGTGGAAGTGAAGTGTTAGTTTGGAATTAAATAGAGAGAGGAGATGGCCTGATAAGTCCCCTGATTCCTAATGACATATTTTAATCTGTTTTCTCTCAATTATTAGTCATGGAGACGATGAAACAAGTGCAGAAATGTGTGTAGAAAGACACTTTTAAAAAACCTACTGTGTGCACAAAAAGGCAGGCAGTCTTTGGTGATAAGTAGAAAGAAAGTGATCCAGACAGACTTTACTTTATGCCAACTAAAGCCAGTGCAAATGTTGATATTTATGCACATTTTGATACATTTTGAACAAGCAGAAGTGAATGTTAGCTGGCTGAGATAGGACCTTGAACTTACCTGCAGTGAACGACTATGGGGCCACTGAAGAAATTCTTGAAAGCATTGACACGCCGCCTCAGTTTCAGGAGAAGATGTGGATCCCCTGGGACTCCGTGGTCTGGCCAACTCATGAACTGAATGTGGGTCACCTCCCTCTCTGAGTTCTTTTCCCTCTTCTGCAAGCACACACACACACACACACACACACACACACACAGAGGGTTATCCAAGCATGAACAGAAACAAACACATACACATGTAGAAGAAGAAGAAGAAATACTTTATTGATCCCCTAGGGGAAATTGTTGTTTTCACTCTTTTTTTTTTTACACACACACACACACACACACACACACACACACACACACACACACACACACACACACACACACACACACACACAGGGTGAAATGCACACTTCATGCACTTGTGGACATGCAAAGGGGAGAGAGAGATGGTGGAGTGATGGGGCTGCAATGTTAACAGCGCCCTATGAGCAGGTTTTTGGGGTTAGGTTGCCTTGCTCAAGGGCACCTCGGCAGTGCACAGGAGGTGAAACTGGCACCTCTCCAGCTACCAGTACACACTCCATATTTTGTGGTCTGTGGGACTTGAAGCGGCAACCCTCCGGTTCCCAAGCCAAGTCCCTACACACTGAGCTACTGCCGCCCCGTATTTATATCTAATCAGTATTAATATATTTATTGAGATAAAGATGGACAGATATACTGACTGTCACTTCTACACGGACACACATGCAAAACTGTGTGGCCCGCAGTAAGAATATACATTTATTTAATTACACTGTGTTAGACTTACATTAGTTAGGCTGAGATGGCGGATGGTGTAATCTGGACAGTAGTCTTCTGAGTTCAGCTTCACAATAAACTCCTCAAAGATCTCCGTCTCTCGATCTGGAGATGGCCAGTATTGCGCACACTTCACCTGTGAGACGAGAGAGCGTCAGAGACACAAGACCAAAGTCTTTTTTTGTAAAGACCACAGTGTGAGTTTTGGGCCTGTCTTTATTTAATACAGTATTAACGGCGGAGTAGCTATGATGTGAGTGTGTTTAAGTAAAAGACAAACTCAAGTCAGTCAGTTTTGGAAGCTCATTTTTCTCTCACACAGAGGACAATGTTTAACTAAAATACCACTGTAACGATGCCACATAACAACCAAAGTCAACAAAAAGTTAAAACTGTTCTTACCCTGTTTCCTTCTTCACAACGCGTTACCATGACAATGATAGAGGACTGCTGCTCCCAGACCATCCTCCAGAAGTCACTCACAGTTTCCTCCTTTGGTCCTAAAACACACACACACAGAATATATATACTGTACACACAAGCATGCTTACTTAGTACCAACCGGAAACATAACAGAAGTGCACTGACAGAGTGTGTGAAGAATATTAGACCTTTACTTTACCTTGAGCTGCAATGTACTTCTTGGATTCCTTGTATCCCTGCAGCAGGAAAATAAATTATGTTCAATAAGGTATATATTGTCTGAAAAAGGTCATGAACTTTGTGTCTATTTAGCCCAAAAATGTAGCCCTTTAACATTTTTCATTATTTGTATGTAGTTTGATAATGTTTAGTAACTCTTGTGAGTTTTGAGTGTGTTATTCATACATCAATGAAGCTGGCATTGATGTAGTCACATCCTGCTTCTCCATTTCCGGTGGTCAGCTGCACGCGGTTATAATCATCTGGTTCACAGAGGACAGAAAGAATATATAAATAAACATCACAACAACCCTAAAAACACCAGTAATTATCAAGTGTGTGTAAACTTCCGATAAAGTCAGTAAATAAGTTGTTTAAAACTGAAATTTAAGAGCAAAATATCTATTCTGTGAGTCCGATATTTCAATAAAACCATCCTGATCATTGATTTGCAACATTCCTCACAATAATTTAATACATATACAGCTACCATAGCATTATTGCAAAATCCATGCCTAGTTACAAGGTACAAAATGATGATGTGATTTACTTCAAAAGTAGACATCACACATCTAGTAAGTTCTTTTATCTCTTATATCTAAAAAGCATTATGGGTTGTTGGACTGCCCCCAACTCACATGGCAGGATGTCCACGTATCGGTTCTTGGGGACATTGCAGGGCTTTTTGGCCTCTTTCACGCTGTACCTTGAGAAAATTCTGGGGATGCTCTGAAAGCAGAAACAAATCGTGTAATTTAATTGCTAATGCCAAAGACCAATAAAAAGCAATTCTAGAGTACACACATCCAACCTCCTTGTTCAGCCTTGGGCTTTAGTTACATGTTATCTCCTTCTCTGCCACTCCATTAGAAAAAATACCCCAAATAATGCCCTGCAAAAAGAACACAGGTATTAAATTTACCTGAAACTCAGCCAGGAAAAGTCTTCCCTCATCAGCGAGCTTCCTCTTGTAGGCTTCCAGCAGGACCTCAGCTGCAATTGGCTCGACAGGCATCAGGTTCTCCTCATCATCTACAACAGCAAACCGGCCAGAAGAGAAACAGAAACATCACTGTAATATTATATATATAATAGCCACTACTCCAAATTACAGTACAGTCGATTATCTGAAAATGATAGCTGCTACACGTGAGTGTCACTTATTACATCTTATCAAGACTGCAATAATCATCTTGTTCAAGACAAAATCCACACAGAAAACTGAAAGTCTACTCACTTGTTGTCGAAATGAGATTTATGTTTTCACTCAAGTCACTGCAAGAAAATGGTGAAGAGTGGCTTCAAAAAACGGCCCACACAAAGAGTTTAACAACAGTAATGATCTTTCTGTCTAAAATGCAATTCAAATGCAAAAACAATGCAAAGCAAATTGAAACACATTGCCTCATCAAAAGAACAAAATCTTCAGGTGTATTTGTGCTAAACAAACAAATAAACAAAAAGCAGAAGCAATGAGACAATCAACTGATGCAGCAGATCAGATCCAGAGTGATCCTTACTGGGACTTTCTGCGCTTCAGAATGTAAATCTTGTAGATGACCAAAAGCAGAGCCACAGACGTGAGGATGATGAGGAAGACCAGAAACCCAATCAGAGCTTTGTCATTATCTGTAAAATGATGGGAGAAAAATATCAATGTGGTAGCATTTATGTTAAAGATACAATGTACAGAAAATGTTCTGTATGTCAATCTGAACAATGTGAGACAATTTGTGGTATTAATTAAAACTGCACATACATGAAGTGTCAATGACCTTCATCACTGGTTTGCTCTCCAATTCTCCATTGAAACCAGTCACCTGGAAAGACAGAAAATCTGTTTATCACGAAGTTTAGCATTTAAAGAAATATAAGCAATAAAGTTGGAATAATGTAGAAACCAAAAATTAGGATTATACAAACCTTCACTTTGTAGGTTGTTAAGTAGCTTAGATCTTTGAATTCAAATTCACATTTATTCTTTTCTTGTTTAAGGTTCTTCTCATTACAGTCATTAAGACATGCAATGTATTTCTCCTCAGGTCCATTAAAATTGTTTACAGTATGGCAGGTTACTTTAATCACATTATGCTCCACAAGATCCACCTTCAGGTTAGTAACTACTGCTGGTACTGTAAGAGAGTGAAGAAAAACAACATATTTTCTGTTAGATACAACCATAAGAATAGTTTAAAACCAGTTAAACAAAATGGTACTCAAAGTAAATTTCTTGATTCCATTTTAAAGTAATTATTTTACAAATTATTCCTAAAAGTAAAGGAAAAGAGAATAGTTATTTGGAAAATGTTATGTTTTATTTTTAACATAAACATAATTTTATGTTTTATGTTTAATTGTTTTAATTTAGTAACATTGTTTTAATTCAACATTTATAGTGAATGTAAAATTAATTAATCCATTTAAATGAGTTTCATAAATTGAATGTATTCATTACAATTTAACACTAACAAAGTCTATAATATTATAATACTCTGTTACCACACTGCAGACTTTATTCACCACAGTACCTGTGATAAATAAACTGATCAGAACTGACTGAACCTGATTGATTTCTTGAGCAACACTGAGAATAATCACTATTATTGGAATTTAAAGTCTACTGTGCATTCCTGGTACATCTTGTGTCCACGGCCTCTTCTTCACTAATGACTGGAGCTACAATGTAATGTTCATTATAATGTCTTCAAGTGAGATCTTCCTATACCGTAAACCGACAGAATATTGGCATAAATAGATAAATTACACCATTTATATAAATACATATGGGTGTATATAAATATATAATATGAATACAAAAAATGCATTTAGAATTAAAACGACTATAATTATCTAAAATAATACGGTAACACTTTATAATGAGTACACACTATTAAGCATTAGTTAAGCATGAATAAATACTGAATTCATCATTTATAACGCATGAATACACATTAGTATGTAGTTTATAAACACAGTTAAAAATGTTTTATTCATCATTGATAAGCACATTAGTTATGGATTAGTAAATACTGAATTCATCATTTATAAAGCATGTTTCTGCTGTAAATAGTCATTACTATGTGGTTTATAATCACACTTATAAATGTTTTACTCTTCATTGTACTGTACATTTCTGCATGCACTTGCACATCCACTATTCAGACATGTATTAATGATTAGTGACTGTGTTAGCAGATGTTCTATAAAACCCACAACAAATTCATTTTCTAATGATGGCCTATAAACAGTTATTAATGCAGGAATTCACAGTTACAAAGCACTTACTACTCATTAATTAAGTATTTTGCACAAGCTTATCTAAAGTGAGCACTATCTATGGCTTATTAAGGATTTACAAATGAGATATAAAGGCTGGCAATGCCTCGAGACTCACAAAATGTTCAGTTATCTTAACAGACGAAGGAGAGACACAACACAAAGGGATATAGAACATATTGTATTGATATTTACTGCAACTTCCCAACATATTGTATGAAGACGAACAAGGGTGGTTTATGAACACATGCTATTGTTGTGATCTTATCTGTTTGGGACGTGTATGTTGAGCTCCCGCTCTCAGAACGTCATCAACGTGATGACGTGCTGAGAGCGGGATGTTACGTCATATTTACGTTAACTCTCAGAAGTTTGTGACAGTGCAGCCAAGGGGAGCATGGAGAAACACATTGGAGTCGGCGGCCGTCAGCGGCACTAGAGGAGAGTATGTGTCTTTGTTTGGTAGCACACATTATGGTTGAAAGATAACGTTAGCTTGTCAGCAGCTGCAGGTGTTTGCCCTCGCTCCCCGACTCACGTTACTAACGTTACTAACGTTACCGACCCGCCCGCGGTGGCTAAGCCGACCTGCCGCTGCTAGGCACTCACCTGTGAATTCCTGCATTAATAACTGTTTATAGGCCATCATTAGAAAATGAATTTGTTGTGGGTTTTATAGAACATCTGCTAACACAGTCACTAATCATTAATACATGTCTGAATAGTGGATGTGCAAGTGCATGCAGAAATGTACAGTACAATGAAGAGTAAAACATTTATAACTGTGATTATAAACCACATAGTAATGACTATTTACAGCAGAAACATGCTTTATAAATGATGGATTCAGTATTTACTAATCCATAACTAATGTGCTTATCAATGATGAATAAAACATTTTTAACTGTGTTTATAAACGACATACTAATGTGTATTCATGCGTTATAAATGATGAATTCAGTATTTATTCATGCTTAACTAATGCTTAATAGTGTGTACTCATTATAAAGTGTTACCAATAATACAAACATAATTAATTATAAATGATGTTCCAGATTCATTTAGTATCTATATTTCTTGTACAAGAGTCAGTTTTCTGCCAAAATTCTTCCAAAACAGTTTCAACTCTGTATGGTCTTAGAAAGTGTTTCAGAAAGTATTTACTTTTACTGCCACACAGTTGTTTTAACTGGATATTCAACTATATATAAAATACACAACCTTAATAAATAAGTAGTCAGGATGTAGTCTGTTTGTATTATTCAGGTGCTGACTGTAATTTTCACCAAAAGATCAATTTTGTACACTTACCTCCAACGTCAGTTTTCTGTCTAATTTTAGTTGATTGGTCAACGTCCTTGTTGTTGTAGGTGGGTTGGACTTCACAGGTATAGACGGTGAATGGTTTCAGATCAGTAAAATTACATGTTCCTCCTTGTGGATGTTTGTTAACTCCAGCTTGTCGTTGGTCTGTTGTGTTTGATTGAATAACAAGGCAACAAAGACACAATTAAGGGAAAATACAACAGCAGATTGTTTTGTTGGTTAAGTTACCTATTAAGTGATAACAAACTGGATATCAATCAATCAAACAATCTCTCTATATATATGTTCCATGGATGATTCAAATGTCCACAGTATATTTCACTATTTAGGTAAACTGACCAGTAAAATAATCTTCAAATGCTTAATAATCAAAGAGTGAATCTAAATCATTTTACTTACCACTGTGTTTCGTCACACAACTGCAGTGATAAGAAAGCTTCGGAAGATTGGGAAGATCTTTACAGTTCCTACTGGTTGTGGTCCAACTCAGATCAATGGAGGTATTGGTTGGTTTCCTACTTTGGTCGATTCTTATTTCAATATCTGTTAGAACACATTAGAAATCATTAACACTGAGTATCTGGTGTTGTCCTTTTATCCATAGTTATCTTATTGTTCTTATGATTGCACTGAGGTAAAGTGAATATCACATACCACACTCAATGTTGAACTTGATAGCAGGTGTGTTTGTTATGATGACATCACTGATGTTCTTGATCTGACCAGTACAGCTGTAGTCTGTGAACGGCTCCAGCTCCGACAATTGCTTGGTGTTGTTGGGATTTCCATTTTCTGAGGAGACACAAGGATGACAACGTTTCTTCAGCAACTGGTATTTGTACCTCAGTGCCTCTGAACTGTTATCTTAGTACAGTGAGAGCATCTAATGGTGCATATTGCCTCTATTACCATATAAATCATTCATAATGTTTTTGACAGACTTCTCTCCACTTACCCTGACAGGTGTAATCAACAGTGAGATCACAGTTTGGAGGTAATGTTGGTTTTATTTCCGCAGGAAGTCCAGTTGGAGCCGTCTGATTTATTTCACTTGGATTTAAAAAATCTGTCAAAGAAAAAAACAGCACACACATTAAAGATTATTAAGTAAGGTCGGCACCAAATATAATTCAAAATACAGGAGGACTCTACTGTACATACCAACACTGATGCTTTTGGTTTTGATAAAGGAAGAGTTCACACAGTTTCCTGCTGATGTAAAGATTGTCGTCAAATTGGAGCAAATGTCATTGTAACCAGGTTTGATGCAGATTGCGTTCCTGTCACTTTGGCATGGCACAGCTAGAATAGTATTTGGTGTTGAAAATGAAGACCTGATGTCCCATTCACTCCGGTAACAAACATATCCAGGGATGCAGCTGACATCATCAATGTCCGTTTCCTCTGAAATATACAAGTGATGCACAAATGTCTTCCTGTTTTACAAACAGTCTCATTTTTTATGAATGAAAAGAAAATATGATGCAATTCAACAGTATCAATTATTTTTACTCACTCATTCCAGGTGTTGTTGTAGTTTCATTTCCAGTGCTGTTACAGGTTTGGTTGCCAGTTCTATCAATAAATGCCACACTGTGCTCATATGCAGTACAGGGCTTCAGGTGTTTGATGTCATGTGATGAGGTTTGATTGGAGTCCTGATGGTTGATTCTCGTTTTGTTCTCTAGTCTGCCTTCTTTTACAATGTTTATGATGTAGTTACCAGCAGTAGATCCTGTAGTCAATGTAATCTTGAGGCCAAACTTGATCGGTACAACAGTGTAATCACCTGCACATAAAACCAACAGAATTATGAAATCTCTTAGTTAATACAAACCACCTGATGACATTTTTTAATCTCAGACAGTTACTTGGTCAGTTGATTAGAATCACTTTTGGACGAGCAGGGATGTTTGATTGATATGAGACTGTGGCACCGTCAAGTTAGCAACAACACATTTATTTACCCACGTCCAGGTGGACTGAATTAGGAAAATAAATAAGCAACGTCCGGTTACACTTTCAAAATAAAGCCAGAAGAAAAAATTCAAAATAAAATTCATATTTTATGAACAATCGCAATACTATTTACTAATACTTATCACGAAGAGTACATAAGTTAACTTATGTACTTATGACAACAACAGTGGAAACGGGATTCTCTTTCGCGGGCAAGTTTCCAATGTTTCACCCCAGAGCTAAAAGGCACTCGGGTGAAACACTGGGGCGGAACAAATAATTAATTCCGTCTAGCTGTATGTTTACAGCTAAATTTATCAATTATTTGTTCGGCCCGAGTGTTTCGGGTGAAACTTTGAAACTTTGAAAACCTGCCCCACTGTTGTTGTCATAATTACGTAAGTTAACTTATGTAGTCTTCGTGATAAGCAGCAATGAGGTTTGTTGGCTGTTTATCTGCTGTGAAGGTGTAATTGGTTATTGTGTCATTTTCGGTTTATTCAATCAAACTGTAAAGTGTCTAGCTGTATATATGCTTGGTTATAACACAAGATGTATGAGACATGCATACAGCATTATTTTTGTTAATGTATTTTCTATGTCTTTAACCCAGTTCTCACGGGTTGACCAGCAATAAAGCCCTGTATTTTAATCAGGACCTCTTGCTAATGCCTGTCACTGGAGGAGCTACATGTGTTTCTGCTAATTTCACAGTGCCGATGTCTAATTGTGCAGCTAACATAACTAAATAGGTAAGTAAAATGCAAACACTCTCTAAAACTGTAATACTGGAGAGAAATATTGATACTCACACTGTGGAGGTGGAGGGGCTGGTGTGCTGGCTGAAGAACGCATTCAATTGACATTAGAAAAGGGAACAACAAAATATTGATACATTATTATAAAACTTTGAAATACTCGAGCAGAGTATACAGAGCTACTTCAAGTGAAACATGTGTCTGTATTTTATGTACTTGTATAAACCGTATCCTATACTAGTGTTAGTAGCTGTTGTCTATGAATAACACAGTTTAAACACAATCTAATATAAGAAGAAATAGAGTTGGGTTGTAAATTAGAACGTTCCAACCTGGGATGGTTGTAATGACTGTGGTGTTGGGCGCAGTGGTTGGAGGCGAGGTCGTGCTGTGAGTTTGGTTTGTTTGAGAGTCTGGTTCCCTGCTGGTTGAAGTGTTTGTGGGTGAGGATGAGGTGCTTGCAGGAGAAGAGGCTGTAGGAAGGAGAGCATGCTGGAGGTCACCTTCAAGTAGAAATACTTTACTGCCAATAGTCTTACCTCACACAATGGCACTACTGGTTCAGGATAATATGCTGAATGCAATGCTAATGTTCCCAGTAACACTGTTAACGGAGGCTGAATACATTACCAGACGTGGTGTTTGAACTGAGTGTCTGATTTGAGGACTCTGAGGTGAGGGTCTGCGTGGTGAGTGGAGGTATGTGGGCAGTTGTTTGGGTGGTTGAAGACACGACAGGAGCTTCTGTCGTGGTGCGTGGAGTTGAGGCAGATAGGGTGGTTACTGAAGGTGAAGTGGAATAGGTGCGTGGAGGTGAGAGAGTTGAATTATCTGCATTCCAAGAGAACAAAAATCAGGCCAAACTCAATGCCACAATGTCAGTTTCAACAACATTAAAAAGTACCACATGTGGTAGGTGGTGAAGGTAAGAGAAAAGGACAAGAGATGATTAAAAAAATCATAGCACTGAGTGGAAGTTAATTAATATTTAGAGGGAGAAAGTAGTTGTAGTACTTTACAGCTAGAACAGCAGAAATAGAATCCGGTTGAGCATTTATTGTTTTGAGTTCAAATGCTTCCTGTTTTTGTCCGGTTCCTATTGCAAAATCTATCAAGGTTTTCTAAATGGTTTCCAACCTTCATACAATTGTGTCAACAGTGGTACAGTGTTGATATAATGCTACACTAATAGCTACGTAGCTTAGCTTCTGCATAGAGTAAATCTAAGTCAATATATTAACTAATTATTGACTAAACAATAAAGATATATTGTATATAAATATATAAAGTAACTATTATTAAACCAGAGTTAACAAAGACTGATTTGAAGTTTTTATAGATTTCTCACTGTGGGATAAACTCTCACAGTTTATTTCTATCAAGCCAGGATCAGTAGATAAGAAGGAAACAAGTTTACCAAATTTTCCAGATAATATCATGTTCAAACTGCACCCACTATCAGGAAATATTAGGTTTCGGTGACTTACTTGTTCCTTTGATGAAAAGTTACATTTGTAACACACTGAGCCCCTTGCAAAAACACTTTACACAGAAGGACTAAAATAACTTTTATACTATAAATTCTCCAGACTCAATTTGTCTGAGTTAGCAGTTTCCCAAAATGAGATTAAACACATCTAAATATCATTACAACAGATCTCAGATACAGCGTAACTACCAATGAAAAGAGGTTAGGAAATGAGCAATCACAACATTAGTTTGAGACATTTCAGACAAATTAGACAGGAAGCAGAAACGTGAAAAACATTTCATTGTGCAGGAAATCAATGCACCACTACTGTAGCCTATATAACTTAATACATTTTATAAACACTATGTATCCTCACTGGAATATGGTAACATGATGTGAGGATCCTTAAATTGTGGTAAAGATGATGCATTAAGTTATTGTTACGGTAGTTATTCTTAAATTCAGCTTAAAAGCAAGCCAGTTAAGAAATTCATCCATTCACTATATGAATGTCACAGTAGCTGCTTACTATATCAACATAAGCATTTCATGCTGCTTTGGAAAAGCAAAATTTTCTGAAATGAGCACAAATTACATTTACATATTTTGTACATAAATAACTGTGTGTAGATAAGAAAATAAATGCAATATGCGGGCAACATTTTTTGTTTATCATGTTGCTAACTGTTAGGTTTCTGCATGTAGTTTGCAATTAAAACTTGGGTGAGACAGGTCATTAAAATGGAGGCCAATGTTAACCCAACTACTGAATAAATATACTTCTGTCACTCATTGTGCATATGTGAGAGGACATTATTTACATACTCATTTCATGAAATTTAGCTGGCTTCGATGCCGCTGTGGCCGTGAAGAGATGCGACAGCGTGAGCTAGTGGGAAGCTGCAGCCGGTAGCATAATTAGCATGAAAAATTATATTCATTATAATAACAATTAAATGTTGTATAGAAGGTAACTTGTGTTTTACCACCCACCTGAAGGATTTTGACCTGGAATTACAAAAGAGAAAAGAGATCAGCTTTGTTTTTTTGTCAAACTGCACAGTATACAGAAAAAAGATACAAACAAAAAAACATCAACAAATGTGTTCTATATGTTAAGTTTTATTAAAGTGTCCACTTCCATCTGACCAATAAAAGTCTTTCAGCAGGGCCAAACCTTTATCAAAAAGAGGAAAAATTGACTATTTTTTATCTGAAGTTCTGCGTGAGGCAGCGCTGTACAACCTGGTTGCTATGACACTGCGGCAAAGAGCAACACTTGCTATTCCAGGCAGCAAACCGCTATTTCCTGCTTTGCACTGAAAGCCAGATCCTCCACACACATATAAAATTTGTTTCAGTTTGGACAGATCACTAGCTCATAGTAAAGCACCAATGGGCTCTGATGATGGACCTTCCCTTGTTATATCCTCATTCTTAGTCATTCGAAATCACAGCGTAAACCAATGTTGTTTAAAATAATATTTATGCTCAATATAAACCAAAAATAATCTATATCAAACTCTGTATTTGGATGTTACAATACTTATTTTTTTCTAATAACATAGAACAAAAAAAAAAGGCCCTTAGCTGTTTTGTCCATTTGTTCTTTATAATAATAGCAATGAGCAGTGAGTAATGAGGTGGTAGAGGACAGTCAAACAGTGTGTGTCAGGATGTGGTTGGCGTGTTCTTGTTTCACTACATCTAGCAGAGATGCATGCTCTCTGCAGTGACATTTCACCACGTTATACTTCATGGTGACTGATTTGAATTTTTTCAGTGAAAGGTTTGAGAGATGAAACTGTGCTCAATTAATATCTTTGATGTGAAAAATACATTGAAACCCTAATTTTATCAAGTTTGTTTCAGCCACACCATTGTAATGGGCAAAATACTTTTAAGTGAAGCCTCCTCTGTGCAAAATGAAGGTGTGATATTTACACTGTTACATAGACCTGTTCAAGGTCACAAGCTTTTTATCCATGGGAAAGAAGCAGAAGAACAGGAAGAAAGAGGTAGAGGAAGGGAGACAGGGCGACCACTGAGAAGAAATTCAACTGTGCAAAGTTGACAGCAGTTAAAGTTACAGTGACAATGTGAGTTTAAAGGCCGCCAGACGCCTGTCCTCGAATCCATTTACTTGCCCAACACTTTGTAAAGAAACTGATACCGTGTCTGATCTGTCTCTCAAGTATCAGTTTTCTCTCTATCAGTGTTCACCATCAGTTTTTTTTATCTGCCTCTTCTGTCTTCCTATATTTTGCATTGACTGCAGAGCACCATCCCTTGCTTTGTGACAAGCACACTCCCCCTCCTCACAGAAACTGCTTTAATCGTGCAGTATTCTTAACATTTCTGACCTCACTTCTTCATTTGAGACACTGCACTTCCCTTTTTTTTTTTTTTTCATGAATTCTCAAGTCATTTACTTTTGCTCGGTCTCAATCTGCCCGCGTTGCTCTGCTCCGCTCTGCACTGTCAGGAAATGAATGCAACTGAGAATGGAACACGGAAGTGGTCAACTTTTTTGATCACACAACTCTGTACTGCTGCAAGCTAAAGAAAGCTTGGAAATTTGCATCTTAATGGGGCGCAGTTACTCTCACGCAGTTAGTTTAAGTAAATAAAACTGGTGCTCACGTGATTTTTGGCCTTTAGGATTAAAATAGTAATAATAGCCAAGTTCTGAATGAAGATGAAAGCTATTTGACACATCTTCTGCTACTTAATAACACTTGTGTGACAAAGACATATTGCATGTTTCAAAAGAACAGTACTGTATATACAGGATTAATTCATTTTCTCTTACAAGATCCTTCCTTTGAATGTAGGACTTGGAAAGTTAAAATACAGTACAGTTAAAATTCTTGCATTTAAAACTGTAGGCTACTTAAGTAGAAGTATTATGTGTAATATTTACTTAACATATAAAAGTACCCACTTTTAGTATAGAGTACAGTATAGAACTGGATAAGTATTCCTGACACACTTACATGTAAATAGCATTTTAATATTGTGGTTGGTCGAGCTGGGGCTGATTGTAGATATTTTTAAATACTGTCAGGTGGTTTAATTTGCTGTATAACAATGCATGGTATTATGTGTGCTCATTAGGTTTGTAAACTCATAAAATCATCTGTAAAGTAGCTATAGTGAATGCATAATATTTCCCTCTGGTGTGTAGTAGAGAATTAGTATAAAGTACCATAAAGTAAAGTACATCAGAGTGGTACTAAAGTTATTGAGTACAGTAAGGGTATTTAGTTATTATCCATCACTGGCTATATGCTATTAAGGATAAGATAACTACATTTATACAATCTTTGGAAGAGTCTAAAGTTTCAATTCTGCTAATGGGTGATGAATGGAAAAGTCAAGATGTATATAAATAAGAAGCGTCTGTTGATGCGGTGTACCATGATGACTCACCTTGCACACTAGTTAAGAAATACTGTATGTTAGAAATGAATGACAAAAACTGACCCTGACTGACATTAAAGACAAGAGTGAAATAGAGTGAAGGGTTTATTTCAGCTCATGTATACAGATGTCTCAGCTGAAAATAGCAGAAATGATTTGATGTGTTGAACAGTAGGAGAACTGTGAGTGATGCAAGAGGCAGTAAGGTGGGTCTGACTTAACACACGCGCATATGCACACATACACAACCACACACACACTCAGATGTGTATCACATACACCCACAGCAACTAGGGTTGAAGTGAAGAGCTAGCAGGGACACACCCTGAAAAATTCTCTCATCTCTGACAGACATAACCCCCCCCACCATCACCCACCCACATACACACACACACACACACACACACACAGTCACACAAACTAATACATATTCATACTCTCACCATCATACCCACAATGTCAAAGCAGAACAGAAACATGATTGCAAAAATTCCCATAGCAAATGAAAGAATATATTTTAAAGAGAGTCTTCTTATTAACAGCAGTCTTTGATTGAACATAACTGTTTATTCTTTTGCCAAAGGGGCTCACAAACCTGTCACTTTTTTAGTTTCTCACATCACAAGTGTGCGCTGTACTGTCTTGTGTTCTTGGGTTTGGAAAGTTTAAGAAACGTGAAGTAACACAAACGGAGGCACAACTCAAAGACATGTTATACTGTAGCTTGTCATTTCTGCCCTCAGTTTTTACTTTAAATGATTACATTTTGCGTGGTGAAGTTTTCCAGTTTTAAAAAAAACAACTAATTGTCGAGCGTTTGTACTGACAGATTCATGTCTCTATCTCAGGCAAGTGTTTCACCTTTTCTCATAAACACGATCACATGCTCAACAACCATATGCGACAACCTCAAAAACAGTTCGGTTATGAATTTAAAACATCTTCATCGGTTATCGTTGGCAATCATTCGTGTTTTACATCCTTTACAGATTTTTTTTTCTCCTAGAAGACTCTAAGATGACAGACACAAGGACACAACTTCATACAACACCCTTTTTTTCCCACAGTCCCTTCATAAAGAAGACGCATTTGGTTACTTACAGTTGGCCAAACCGATGATTCCAGCCCAGAGCAGCACGATCTTCAGACAACAGAGACCCGCCATATCCAGGAGTTTGGGTGTGTGCGGCCACACACCATACAATATAGTCCTACTGGGGACCAACAGGCAGAAATTCACCCGCCAAACTGAAGCTGTATTTCTAAATTCTTAACTCAACTCTACCCTAACCCTAAAATAATAAGTTAAAAACGTTGTTTTTTTAAAGCTACATGCGTTTTCTGTCTTATCAGTTGACACAGCTTCCTGGACTTGTTCCCCAAACCTAAACCTCGCTTCTGGTTTCAAGTCAAGCAAGTGGGAGTGATGTCACACCAAAAGAGCCTGCCTTTACCTTAGCATTTGGTGACAGGAAGCTTCATTTCAGCTACGCCACCAAGAACAGGAAGTCTTCTAACTCTAATCTTTACTTGCTTTTGCTCAAGTGTGAAACCCTCAGACTTATGAAAAACGGAGTGCAGTTTACTCTAAGATTGTGTTTGGACATATGAGGCTTTTTGATACCTGTGCAATACACCATTGTTATCCACATTCACAGTTCAACTCCACACAGAGATGGAAGAAAATTGTGATGTTAACGCACGTTGTCTTCTGTTCAAAATCAGACTCTTAATGAGAAATTTTACTTCTGAGACACGAGACACACTAATGAAACTTCTTTTCGAGCTCCTCTTCTCTCTCACTGACTCCTCCCTGCTCGTAAGCTTACAGGCCTACAGTCGTTTGGCCATGTAATCAAAAACGCACGAGGACCAAGCAATGCAATGTGCAAGAAAAAGATGCAGCCTTTCCTTTCTTAAACTTTGTTCTCTTGTTTTTCTTCTCTCAGTCTAAAGAGAGAAAACATGTGGCCATTGGCTCCAGAAGTGAATTTCTTCATTTCTGCTGTTCCTTCTGTGTGAAATACATTTATCAGGGATGTTAGATCTCTTCAAAGTCATTGATCGTGCATGGTGTTTGATCATCATGCTCTGCCTTGGAGCCCAAAAATGCTTTACTTCTGTTTACATACACAAGAAAATAGGGGATAAAAGAGGAAGGAGAGGAGTAGAGAAACTCTCTGGGGAGTGAGACTCACACACTGGGTGGTGAGCTGATGTGAATTTGGATGAAACAAAGTCAGCTATTTCATGCAGTTATATGAAAATAATACATGCAGCTAAGCAGGCCCATTTTTGACTTTGGACAGTTAGATACTGAGCTGGTTGAGGCTTTTACCTAATCCTACAGCAGTCATACAGGTGCAGCATGTTGTCTATATGGCGAGGAGGACTATGAGCATGCATAGATCACGTCAAATCTTTGAATAATATTTGTGTTTATCCCGAGGAGATGAAAGTGTTACACGCAACGGTTGCTTTCTTTCTAAGTCATACTATATTTAAGAGGAAATACGATTGAACCTGATTGTTTCCAACAGTGAACTTACATTTTTAGTATGAATGTCTAAATTTGGATTTCCTCCTAAACCTGCGAAACACTTGGTATTTGGCTATTTCCACTTGTGAGAGTATAGATTCTTGTAATCAGGAAGTGACTCTTAGGCAAGCCGCATCAAGTCAATGCACTACAAATAAAACTGTGCTGACAAGTCACGCAACCATGCAAATGTCTGATTATTAACTGAATGATGATTATACCTGTGGTTGCTACTTCTATTTGACGGCAATCTTCAGCAGAAGATCTGTTTAGTTTTAAATGTACTTTACAGATGTAAAATTATATTTAAAAATAATAATTCTGTACAATTTACAGTGTACCTAAGTGGAAACAAGTAAACACATTGTGAATTTGATTATATTATTTTATTATGATGTATGTATTATCTATTTTAATATTATTTAATATTGTTGAAGACCATAACATTTCGCTATTAGTGATAATCGGGCTGATTATTTGGCATTTTGAGATGATTGGCATTGTCCGGTATCTGTGCTCACAAGGCCGACACATCTGCAGGCAGCCTCATCAGTGTTGGTTTTGGTCCCTGTACTATAACTCTCCTGCAGTAAATATGTGCCTGGATTTTCCTGTAGAACATCAGCAGCCCTGCTCTCTAAATATGGGCATCAGCCATTAAAACAACCCATATCGGTTGACCACTAATGTCTATAAAGACCTAATGTTCAAACCGTATTGGGCTTTGTAAGCCCAACTTATATTAGGTCAAAAAGAAGATTGTTTTCATGAGTGTACACGCTATACTACTGTGGAAATAAGAATGGAGAAGCCAGTTGACGTTAAGTTGACCAATCAGTGACATGGTTTATTACTGACAAACATTGCAACATGTTGTTTTACTATGATGTTAGGATACCGCTACAATTTTGTGTCAGATTGACATAAAATTCAATAAGGATAGTCATTGTCCTCAGAGGTTGAGGCCTGATTCGTCTTTCACTACAATCAGACCAAAGGTTCTAGTTGTATAACCTGACTGTGCCAGATGGTTTGTTACAAAACTTGTTCGAGATGAACTGCGCTGCACCTGGGAAGTGGACAAGATCAGATGGCAGCAGCAACAGGAGGCGACAAAAAGCTGCAGTCAAGTCGCACAGCAGCCTTCAAAGAATATACCGGAAGTCAAATAACTATTTACAATTCGTTAGATCTATCTATAGGCTACCTGAAGTTTGCGGACCACATTCGGATCTATCAATAAAGCATTTTACTGCCAGCTGGTTCTCTGATCAGGCAACAGCCAGGCTTTTCCCATCATGCCCAACTCAACAACTGATGGATTTTCAGGGAATTTTCATTCTTGTGTCTCATACCTAAACTAAAACTGATGATATTCCCATCAGCCTTAGCTGTACTTTTTGTTTTGTGCTCATTTGTGGTGATGGTGATCATGGTAAACATTATACCTGCTAAACATCAGCATATTAACATTTCCATTGTGTGCATGTTAGCATGCTAGTGTTTGCATTTACTAGCTCAAGGCACCACTGTGCACTGATAGCCTACATCCTCACAAAGTCAATAAAGTGGCTGTATATGTGAACATTTTCACTTTTTTAAATCAAAATACACTTTAATCTATAGTCACCTATTGGTGGAATCACTTTGATATACCATACTGAACCATAAATGCCCAGAACGGTATCGTTTCATGCAACTGAGGTAAAAAAAAATGCAGGGTTTTCCCCAGAAAAATAGAATGGTCACATGACATTTCCCTAAAGGTTAATGTTTTATAAACAATAGGTATTCACTTGGTATGATAGTTAGTGGTTTCACGCAAGGTGATCCACCTCAACTGCCCTGAACTGTACTGTGGGAAACTCTGTTAGCTACTGGCTGCTACTGCACAATGAAGGATTGGTGATGTAGAATCTGCAGTTTTCATGTGAAGTGCTATGGAACTTTCCTACAACTAAGTCATAGGACCATACAGTCTGATACTGAACTGAAGAGAACAGAAACGTGCGACTGACACTGGCAGAAACAGTCATCACCTCTTGAGTCATGGACCAAAAATATCATTTTCTTAAAAGATTATTATTTCCTAATATAAGGTTTTAGTTTTATTAATGTAGAATTGACATTTGTCCTCATTGTTCCCATAAGAAAAACTGAATGAAATGTGTCTGAATCACACAATAAAATTACACTACTGTTGCACCTGCTCATTTGAGCTTCAACCTGTCTTTCCACAAACCAGCCACAAATTGAAAACACAAGTGGCCTGACTAATGACTCAGTCACTGGATAGTGTCAGCTAACCACTTTAGCTTCCTGCAGCACTACCTTTTCAGTTGAGCTTAAATTAAAACTAGAAAAATTAGTTAAAGATGATTATTGATGATATTAATATGGAGGTGGAATTTGTTTTAGTGCATGGGTGTTTAACTGTTTGCCTTCATCGTTTGTGGCTTGTGTTTTATTAGTCACTTTTGACATTTTCATTATTCAACAATGACCACAATCTTCCATGATCGGGGAAAGATTGTGGTTATGTAACAATCTTTTCCTAACTTTGACCAAATAGTTTTAGTTGCTTTTAGTTAGCTGCCAACCCTCCATGCCGACCCTCTTCCCGACATGGGTTGAACACACATTTCTGAACTTTGGTGACCAGTTGTCTCTGTTAGGATACAATTATTTTAAAGGTTTCCCTCCGAACCTGTTTTAATACATATTAAAAGTCTTAAATTTACATCTCCAACTTCTCCGTCTTTAAAAAGTCCAGAATCTAGTCCAGAATGAATGAATATGAAAAGTCTAATTGCCAGACTCAAGATGTCTCCTACTTTACTGAAACTGTGTGCTGGTTGCTTCAAGTTTCCACATCAAACCTGTGTTAGTTGCAAAATGGACCATAATTGGCTTCTAAAGTCTTTGTAATGTCACAAACTCCTGACCCTATGTACTCTCTTTTAATGTGAGCCCAGACACGCTGCCCCCATTCATGAGATAAAGGGGAATAAAGCTTTCTAGTACTTTTCTGCACATACATCCTTCTGTACCAATAAGTAATTAACAATATGCAAAACACACTTTGGTGTTAAAGGCGACCGATAGGTGGAACTGACATTAAAAATAATTTTGCCAGCTTTTCAAAGCGAGAGAGACAGATGAAGATATGAAGAGAAAGAAACCGAAAACAAGCAGATGTGGGCACAGTTAACTTGGCTCTGTCCAAAAATAAAACATCTGCTTTCCAGCACCTCTAAAGTTTTGTTAGCCAGAAACTGCACAGTGGCTCAGTGGTTAGCATTGTGGCCTCACAGCAAGATGGTCCTGTGTACATTGTGGCAGGGGCGAGCAGGACTTTGTGTGGACTTTGAATGTTCTCTACATGTGTACGTGGGTTTCCTCTGGGTGCTCTGGTCTTCCCGCCATCAAAGACATGTGTGTTAGGTAATTCTCCTGCCGGTGCCCTTGACAAAGTCAAAGCCGTAGAATTGGAGTTGGTCTCTCCCCACTGCTCCTAACACTTAGGATGGGTCACATGCAGAGAACAATCAATCTGAAAATAATTACCTATTCGGGGCACCCCAGCTGCTCACCTGGTAGAGCTGGTGCCCCATGTACTAAGGCTGAGTCCTTACTGCAGTGGCCATGGGATGTGGCCTGTGGTACTTTCTTGCATGTCATCCCCTCTCTCACACACACACTTTTACACCATTTAAGGCAATAAATATCAGAAAACACATTATAAATAAATCATTACCTAATCAACAGCCAAAGTTCTCACAGTTTTGACAAGGATACTTAAAAATGTTACATATGTATGGTATATGGTAATATGAATCATAACATGTGTATTGTTTGTGTACACAAACTGTGCATTGTATA